CATCGATGAAACAATAGCAAGATATGCGTGGCTTAATTGATCGCTTAATTGACATATAACAAACAGTATTTCTGGAACACATGACGTCATACGGTCAATTATCGCGATATGAGGGTGAGCGAATTAAGTCACTTCTCCTGATGAGTCCTGATTGTGAAGACGTTCTTCACGTCATTTTTATTTATCTATAATACAGATAGAGAACACAAAAACGTCAAAAATCATAATGATATCATTATGACTTTATGTATGTCTCTTAAAAGTTAAACTGATAGAATAAATGACAAAAATGATCTAGAAATGAAAAAAGAAATCATAGGTATAGGATACAAATAAAAGCGTTTGATTTTCAATTATTTATGTCGTTTTAATATATTGTTGTCCATAATTATTGTAGATAAAAGCACAATAATGATTACGAATAATAAATAAAATTTCTGTGATAGATCCCGCGTAGCAGTGCTTATAAGGTGCTAAAAAAGCGCTTATGCGGGTGTATGTCTAATAGTTTTTTAGCGCTTTCAAAATCCATTACGAAAAGCATATTATAAATGCATACAATCAGCGCAGAATAAATGCAGTTTTATAGCACAGCATTTTTCATGTAGCACAATAGTGCCTGCAAAGCGCTCAGAAAGTGCTGTAAAAGCGCATGAAGCATTTATTGAACTGAAATTTCTCTGAAATTTTGTTAAAAATGAATTTTTTAGCTAAAAATCGCTGAAATTAAATCGAAATTTTATTGAAAAATAAACAAAACGTAAAATAATTTCAACCAGGATGTGTTTGATATTATAATTATAATATATTATATATTTATCGCCGAACTAGCCGAGACATTTATATTTATAAATTTAGATATTCTAGAAAATATTCAACAAATTTATCTTTTATTTATTTTATTGTCAAATAAAATTTTCTTAAATAATGTCGAAAAAAATCTCAATGTTTCTGTGTTAAAAAAATTCTTCTGAATTGCTTTTGAAGTGCTTTACAGTTTTCTTACGCGCGTAATCATTTCTTGATCAGTATAACTTGAAATCTACTGAGTTATTAGTATTCACATTTAATAAAAGTGTACAATAACAGCAGTTTTGAATAACACAAATTATAAGAACGCTCTCAAAGTGCTTTGCAGCGGTGTTATGCTACGTGGGGATTTTCATTTACATTTCTCATTTTTGTGATTTTTAATGAAAATATATCATTTTTATATTATCATGTCAAATAATAAAAAAAAGAAGTTTTAATTCGTTTTATTACAAATAATTTCTCTCTTTATTTCTTACAATATTTATACTTATATGAATTATATGTTAGGTTAGATTAAATTATGATGAAAAACTGCTTTTATACAAAGCTTCCTAACTGTTTCCTTTGAACATTTTCGTGCTGAAAACTTTAATTATTTGTGGATTGGTATTTGGGACTATCTATTTTTATTTTGTAAACTTTTTATCTATCCACTCGATCTTTATAAAACTTTTGACTCCTAATACTTTATTCAAATTCTAAGATCAAAAATAAAAAAATTTAAATAATGGATTCAATGTGACGGGCAGAATTTAAAAAAATAATCTGATTATCATACACACACATGAAACTCAGAGAATTTTTAATTAATTATATATATAATTAATATATATAACATCATGTTTTAGTTTTAATTTATTTGAAGTTTACAATTGTGCTATGCAATAGTTAGAATCGATTTTCGTACTGATTTTTAAACTCCGATTATGAGCCTTATGATATATGATTCTTCATTAAATTGCCTTTTGAAATTTGACATTTATTTAAATTCAGCGATTCTAAAAAGATCTCCCAAAACTGAATTTCCTATAATAATCAAATTATTTTCTGAATTTTAGTATTCTAAGGCCAGAATCGAATTCGATCGCAAAGCCTTTAGAAGACAAAATCTTCTTTATTAGAAAATTCCCGACTTTAAAGAATTTAGAACAATATCTTTTCGGAAGCTGTATATGTATGAGTATCATAAATGTTTTGCGAGTCAACCATATATCTTGAATATTTTCTTATTATTATTTGATATTTATTATTTGATGAAATTTATTAATAAAACATTAAACACACGCCATCATTCTCAATTCTATACGATATTTAGAAATTTGTTCGCATTGAAATCTCCAAAAACTTTTTCACTTAAATACAAATATATATTGAAAAGAGGAGAAGCAAAGATGTTGGGTGCAAAAAGTATAAGCAATGCGAACAGACCTATTAATAACATCTACCGATATGTAAAGATTTACAGTCCATCCACAATTTAATTGAAGCCAATATACATTCATACACCCACGTACGTTCGATGATTGATTTAATCGTCCAGTTGTCGCCACATTGCATTCTATGATATCTGCAACGGCGAAGAATACAAATAAAAGAATGAATTTCCCAATTAGGATAATTTATGTGATTTTCACAGGCACGACCGAAGGGTGAGGGCCTAACGCCGTATCAGGGTAAGAAGCGGTGCTTTGGTGAATACAAATGTCCCAAGTGCAAGCGCAAATGGATGTCGGGCAACAGCTGGGCCAATATGGGCCAGGAATGCATTAAGTGTCACATAAACGTGTATCCTCACAAACAGGTGAGCGAGAAGGAGTCCGCCCTGTCCGCCTCCTTCGTGTCTGCCTTCACCGCCTGCACATTACGAGTTCTTTCCGTGATCAATCGTTAAATATAAAATTAGTCATGATTCTCCTCAACGAAGTCCCGGTCAGATTCACTAAAAGATTCGACTCTTGGAACAGTTTCGCTCTCTCGAAATATTGCGCGGCCAAGAGAACGAAATCTCGTGTAAACCAACGCGAATGCTAATTATAGTCGCATAATCACGCTCACCCGCTCGCTCTTTTGCCTGCCCGGTGGGCAGAAATATCCGGAGTCACCGGTAATCGTTACGTTCGGTTCCCGAAAAACATTCGCGAAATTCCTATTATAATTGAACATTAGCTATGCTGTGCCGCGAGCTTTAAACTTTAAACGATCCCAGATTTGCTGTACAATCGCCAAGTCTCGAAAATCGAAATCACATCGGAGTATTTCAATAATATTAATAGTATCAATAATGTAAATTAGTTAATAACGTTAATTAAATTAATGACAAAAATGATAAATTGTACTGAACAAAAAAAGAGGACATGTTTATGTGAGAAAATGAGATATTATCTAACAAGATTTCTATTCTTATCTCTTGCGAGAAACAACGTAGAGTGTGGGTATAAAATCATTTCTATTATTTTCAGAGGCCGTTGGAAAAACCCGATGGTTTAGACGTGTCCGACCAGAGCAAGGTACATCCTCAACATCTCTGCGAGAAATGTAAGACGTTGGGCTATTATTGCAGACGAAGCGCTATAATAACTTAACGAATTCCGTCCAATTCATCTCACTGATCCAATTAATTGCAAGAAGGGAAGAGTTTAATGATGAATTAATGAAAGACAGTTCGATACACTTGAACGTACCGATACGCATGTGAATCTTATAGATAGAGCGTCCATTTCTATTCGCGAGATTAAATCGAGAGAGAAAAAGAGAAATAAAATGATATATTTTTATGTATTTTTACAATTAGAATTTTTTTTAATGGTTTTTGACGACCAAAGACGCGTCGTTTAATCACAGCTTTATATTTATAATATATATTAAATAAATATATTATCTATACGGACATAAAATGCACACTCAAATAACAGAATTTTTTGATTTGTAATATTATTTCGATAATATCAAGTATCCATGCGGAAAAAAAGAGTATGTTGTTCGAATAAAAAAAATGAGGGCATTGTTCTCAGGGATATATTAAAATGTGCTGATCCTAAGAGCTAAGAATAAACATGGGCAGATCCTCGAGAAAGGGAGGTGCCGGAGGCACCTAAGGAGGAAAAACGACGGAAGAAACATTTCAAATGAATGTGTGTAGTATTTACAGTAATGTCGAGTTAATGCATTGAAATGCAGTGACACGCAATCCCTGCGCAATCAATATTGTTTCACAATATTGCGCAATAATATATTAATGTTTATATTAACGTTACATCTACAGTCAGTATTATATATAATATTATTGCATACTTTCTTCATGTAAGTAATAATACATTAAGCACTTAATATCCGTATGGAGATTAATATTATATTAGTATATAACATATTGCATCAATAATATTGATCGTAGGGATTGCTTTATTTATTGGATATTCTTTGGCTCTGGGGAGATGAACATGATGCATATATAAATCTCTTCTTATTCAATATATTATTTGCATATGTACAGATTGGTTTATGATACTGAACGAATGAAGAAACATTCAAATTGCATTAAAAGTATAAGTTAACATTATAAATAGAGGCTACGAAACCGATGTAATTTCATAAAGAGTTCAATTTTTGACACTATGAACGTATTATGCATACTTAGCGATTTCTTTTATCTGTCTGTTCGTGTGAAACACGACTGGCAAGAGCTTCCAATTTTATTTACAATTGAAGTTGAGCTCATTAAAATCTTAACGGTTTCTTGATTATTATTTAACGAAATTGTCAATTAATTCGACATTTTCTATGAATCGCATTGAACATGTACATGTCTAACATGTATTCATGCAGACATGAGAAAAAAGTTTTCTTACCTGTTGTAGTAGTAGAATTTGTAAATGCTTAAGGAGGATTTGTATGAATTGAATATTACGGTTCACACCATTCTACGTAAAATACATGCAACACGTCGATAAAACATCAATGACAAATAACTAATCGATCGTTTTCCAAAATGATTTGGCCTACGCATTTGTCTTATTCGCAAAGAGCTCCTTTCGTCCATAATGGAAAAAAAAAAAAAAAAAAGATTCAAAAATGGAAATACGACGTAGCAAGTGCTAGGAGTGGTGCCGAGAATTGTATTGTGTTGTCACTAATATTGCCAAGATTATACGCGACGTACGATAATCTTAGCAATAATGTGTACACATGCGTATAGTACAGATATATATTATTTGTATATAATGAGTGCTTTCCAAATATACAAACCAAAGATACAACGATTCTGCGCCTACGTTCATCTTCCTTTGTCTATAATCGATCACTTTCGATACTGTTCTACACGATCAACATGATCACGCATTGTAGAAATGTTTTATATAATACAATTTATACATAGGAAATATACAGTGGTCAAGGATTAGTGACGACGAAGAGGAGATCCGCCGCCGGATCTTCGCTAAAATATGCCGCGGAGTTAAATGTCGTTGTCCCCGTAGAATCTACTGTCGTCTGCAAATAAAATATTCGATTACGTTCTCTCTATTACAACTTTTATCACTTTAGAACAAATAGATTATCTGATTTCTTTTTTCAAGAGATTCTATCATGGATGTTTATATTAATTTTTCACAATTGCAAGTATGCTCGCGTAAAGATATTACCAAGCATATTTATATTTGTTAATAAATCTTTACGTATTGATCATTGCGTTATCTTAGTGTTGTTTGTAAAAGAATCAAATCATTTAATCGAGACAAAGCGAACGCGTTTTTAATTGTAAGAGTCAATCGGTTCCGGACGATTGGCTCCTCAAGATCCTGCTAAGATGCAAGGCATTGATTCACCTCAGAGGGATCCACGCGATACGGGGAATTTTCCGTTGTCGGATGCTGATACTGCGCCGATTGCACATGCTGCGTGCATTGTTGCTGCATTAACATTTGTTGCTGCTCCTGTTGCTGTTTCCATTCCTCGTATTTTTTCATCGCGAGTATCAAATCGCGATTCTCGTCTGCCAAACCAACATTTTGCGTCATATTCTTCGTCAACTTGCTGTACTCTTCCTCGTTTGGCGTCACTGATTGTTGCTGTTGCTGCTCTTGTTGGTGCTGCTGTCGTTCGTCCATCTTTTCGATCAAAGAGTTTGCCGAGTAGCAAATATCAAAGAAATTCTGAGCTGTTGGTTGCACCGCGACTGGACTGGACACGCTGGGTGCCGGTTGGCTAACTAGAGTGATTACTTGCTGCGTTTCCTTACCCTCGGTATTGTACATCAATGTCGGTAACGGAACTGGAATCGGAACTCCGCTAGATTGTACAGAATTTAGAATGTCCAATGGCTGCGTGACGGTCTTCGTATCTACATTATTCTCATTAGAGCACTCGATATCGGGCGAAGAGGGAATATTTTCTGGTTGCGGCGCTATAGGTCCCGGAAAAGACAAAGGCTGCTGTTGGCCAACTAAGCTAATAACTTGCGGCTGTGACGATTGCTGCTGTGGCAGTTGTGAAGGCGGCAGAACCGCTACAGGCGGTTCGGGAAAGAGTTCCGCTTTCAGGTTCGGTAAAAACGTGTCGATTGCCCTCCACGTGGGCGCCCAGAGATTGGAACTCGGCGCTAGAACATTGGCCGACGACATCACCAGCAGCATGTTCTTCAGTGATTCGGGAATCGCTTCGAACAAGAGCTCACTGTTATCGGCATGCATGTACGCGCGCAGAAGCTCCAGCACTGTTAACCAAAGCGGCAGAAAACCAGGTAGAGTTAGCAGTGGAGTCAGATGATGAAGAAATACCTTGGAGAGTAACATTGCGGCCCTGACTCGTGTTTCTTCGACGCCGATAGGATCGTTGGACGCGATCGGACCCAATAATTGCGCTAACAGCGGGAACAATACTTCCTCCAAACATTGCGACCACTCTATTGCGGATAGCTGTGCCAAATCATGCGCCAGCAAGGTACTTTGAAGATATGTAATCGCTGCCGTGCGTACTGGTCGACGAGCGTCGCAACAGAGTCGTGCGATACCTTGCAATAGCGGTCGCCAGGCTTGCGGCCACAGGGATATACCATCGTCAATGCTACCTTCTTCTGCCCACCATCGGAATACCTGTGCGATTCTCGTGTGCAGCGTATGCATCAAATCCAAGAGTTGCACCGGGCTCTGTTGATAACCAGCCGATTCCTCCGCGGAATTGCACACCTTGTTTCGTTTGCCCGCACATTGCAGCACCGCCTCGGCAAACGTTCTAACGCAGTTGACGCACAAGTCAAAATTGAAGGGTGTTACATGTGCCATGTCACGCACTAAGAAATTTAGACTTTCGCAGCATTTGACGAACGCCGCCGAGTCGTGCGACTGTAGATCGCGCGCTAGCACTATCGTATCAGCGGCTACTGGAAGCGGTGCCTCGGTACCAGTTGGCGACACTAATACCCATTCCGGTACAGGACTGATAGGTCTGGGATCCAAGACTGATGTCCGAGCGTTTGCAGTTTCATCTAGAACCGTGTTGGATCGCTTGGGCGCCAATGCGCCGGCACCCGCGCACTCCAGCAGGCTAAATACTACCTTCCAATCTTCCGCACTATGGATGTTTGCGGCGCCCGTTTTCAGTAGCTCGAACAGACCGTAGGCGATTTGTTGAGCTAACGGTGCGGTCGTTGCGGACGGCAAATGGGTCAAAGGTAGTAGAGGTGATAGACACGCAAATTCTTCTCCGCGTAAAAGCCTGATAGCCAATCTCAACATGCCCACAGCTACCCGTTCAAGCAAATAAGGATGGTTCTCACGTGCCGCCACCGTTAATAAACGATCCAAGTGACTCTGGACTACAGGCCAGATGCACGTTACTCTGTCACGATTCTGTATAGTTACTTCTAGCAACAGCTCGAGTAGAAAGATAGATATATCTTCGTCGTTAGGATTAGCTGACACCAAAGCACCAACAAGAGAATTAAGTGATTCACTCTGCAAATGACGAAAGTTGTTAAAAAATATGCAAGGTCATAGTCCAATAATTACATGTCATCGATGATTTACCTGAAAGAATTTACTTTCTTCTATAATTTCTTTAAGGTAACAATTGGCAATAAACTCTACGGCCTTTTTTCGTGCGGTTGCTTCAGCAGGATGAGGCAGACGTGACGTGTCCATAGCGATATAGGAATAAAAGGTGGAAAGTATTCCTTGATCACCCGGAGAAGCTTTGGGCGTGGTCGGTTCTCGAAGTAGAGATATTTTGCCGGACGGATCAATGAAGTCTTCCGCCTCCGTAAGATTCTTTGGCAATAATCTCGCCTCATAGAGCGATTGCAAACAATCGATAATGTTCTTCCAAGACGCTCTCAAGGCATCCCCGTGTAAATGAGTGATCTTGAAAAGAGTGCGAGCTGCCATTTGGGATTTTGGACTTCCACCGAGATGTAAAACTACTTGCTCGGATTTCCCGCCGATTATTAGACCCGTGAACTTGCAGAGACTGACTATAAGCGTATCCAAATCATTACACATGCTGTGGTAAGCGCTGATTGCCGCGCAACTGAAAAAAGAGAGAATAAGCTGTAGTTAATACAAGAATAAATAATAAGTAGCAACAGAATAAACAAACCTAAGAAATGTTTGAACGACTTTGCGTTGCAATGATCTGTCCGGTGCTTTATCGTATGCTCGACAAAGAGCACTTATAATGGGAGCCCACGCATGTTCGGCTAGGTCTTTATCGATGAATTCGCCAGAATTGCCTACTTTCAAGTACATACTTTCAAGTCCGGAGCCTCTTCTTAATAAAACCTTCCATAAATAATTTTCCTTTACTAGCCCAGTTTGTTCAGCTGGCATCACGATTTCTTCCCCTCTACACAAATAACAGTTAAACAATATTTAGAATTGGAATATTCACACTATTTAAAATTTAATTTAAATATTTATAACACTTACTTAATTGAAGTATATATTTCATCGAGCATATCTTGATCAAAATCGGTATCGCCATTAACCTTCTTCAAATTTCTTTTAAATTCATCGGCAGTCATAGGATTATTTTGCCTCTTTACGTTATAATTATGTTGATCGACATTTAACATGATAACCGCATAAGCTAACGTAAAGGCGGCATCAGCCGAAGCGAAAGGTCTACCATTGCTATCCTAAAACACAACAATTTGTTATTCTACGTTCATGCTTGTTATTTCTAAAAAATATTAGAATATACGCACATGCCAATGTTCGGCAAATTTCTCAAGTAGAAGAGATATAAGGGGAGCTTCCCCAGGTAATCTAAAGGATTCCAAGTAAAGTCGCAAAGCTTGATCGATTCGAGTATTTCTTAAGTCAAAATTATGCACAAAATAATTGAGAATGTTCTTGTTTTCTTTCTTGCTGATGTATTCACCGATTGCTTTCTTATCTAAACCAGGATTCTCTCTTAGAAGTTTAGCGATTTTTTCTGGATCCGAATGACCTGGAGTACCGCCCAGCAAACCGTGCTCCGTAAGTTTCGCTATACCCTCTCGTGGATTTTCATTGAATTTTTCTGTGCCAAGAGCCAACCACTGAAAATGACAAGAAGAGATTTGATTCATTGTAGTTATATAAGAAATAAGTGGAAAATAAATACCTACTCGCTTATTCGCTTTTATAGCAAGCAAATCTTCACGCGTAGGCAGATTTGATGACGCCTCATGACGCGATGGTTTGCACAATTCCTTGCAGCCTTTGCAACGAATCTCCATGCCGACGATCAGCATCATTATGGCGTCCAAGGAAATCAATTGCATGGTATGCATACCAGTGGTCATTGGTAGAGAAACATTCTAAGAGCAAATTTTAAAGATATAGAGATTTTATATCTTAATAATTTTATTAGATATCAATTTAATATTAATATAGGAAAAAAGAAATGTACCTTAGAAAACATTTTCATGAGTTCCTCATACAAGTTCGTAGAATAAAGTCCGCAGTCATAATTTAAATATAATTCAGCGGGTAAACCAGGTATTCTCCACAATCTTACTATAGCCTCTGCAAAGTATGGAAATAAAAGTTATGTTGCCACAATATATATTGCACAATTGCTGTAAAATAAAGACGTACCAAGCGATAATTCTCGTTGCTCGTATGAGATTCTATTAGATTCAGAAACAACTATTTCCATTAATTTAATTAAATAATGTTCCAGTTGGAATTTTAGATGTTCTCTTTGCGACTCAAACAGCAAAAACGATACTTGAAGATTTACAGCGAGGATCGACAATCTATCTGTTCCTAGTAGCTGATATATAAATACGATATTCATTGACTATTTCTTTATTAATGAACGACGTTAAATATAATTAATTAATCGCATTCGCTTACCAAGATTAGATTCCTACACAAGTCATCCTTCGCGAGAGCAAGTAGGGACGAAAAATTAGATAGAGCGTCGGCGGCGATTTCCAACGCTACTTGCAATAAGCTAAGACCTAGATGAGTTATAATTTCATTGTTCTGCTTGTCGAGAGGACTACATAGAGAAATGAGAAATCTGAACAATTCACGAACGCATAAGGCGCCATATGGCGCCCGTTGTTGCAACGGAATAAATCGGACGCCCTGACTATTCACATACTCCTCGATTTGTTCAGACTCTTTCATTTTAGACGTTCTAGACAGATTTTCGTCTATCGATAAGTCTTCCACGCTACCAGTCGGAGATTGTGCTAAATCGATACTTTTTTCTTCGTCACCTGCAATTATCCAAAAAATAAATTAGAAATTATTAAAATTTATTTTAAAGTAGCGAAAAGAAATACCTTGATTTTCTGAAATAGATTGCTTGATGGAAGATTCAGATTCATCCGTGATTTTTTGATCAGCCGCATCTTCCTTTTCTACACTATTACTTTCTGTTAAAGCTGCAACTTTATTCTCCACATTGATATTTTCAGACGCGTTATTCACCTCGACCGTTTCTATTTCATTTTTAACATCTTTATTACTTTCGTCTGTATCAATCTCCTGTTTCTTATTAGTTTCCTGATTATCCACTGCTTTGATGCAGTCATTTCTATCTTTAATATTATCTTTGTTAATATTATTCTTGCTTTCACTTTTCTCGTCCTCATTTTTATCAACACTTCCATGATTCAACGATCCCTGCATGTCAACGATATTGCCAACTGGTGAGACGGGTGTGGTAGCTAAATGACCAGTTCGTATTTTGTCAACTGAACTTGAAATCATCGGCTCCTTCTCGTCGATGTCATTCGTGGTAGACTTGGATTTTTGCCTCGTGTAACTTTTGTGTTTTCTATTCTTGCCACGAGTATTCTCTATGCTATTTGTTCTCATTTTCTGTTAGAAATAATATTGTCTCATGTATATTTGTTTTTTACAAATAGATATTTTATAAATACATAAACATATTATAAAACTTACTTTCATATTCGGCAAAACTCTGGTATCGTCAACAAATTGAGGTAATCTGGTGAACAAATGTTGAACCATGTCCCTCAGGCAATTCTCTGCCGTTTTTCTAAGTATTTCTATAAAGATATCTCATTATGATACACTCGCAATTTGTTACAACAAAAATATGAAAGTATAACTCACCACTAAGACGCGTTTCAAAACATATCCTAAAGCAACTCAGCATAATTTCGCAAACACTTTCATTGGAAAGATGATCACCAGCAGACGACAGCATGAGGGCTTTCAGAACTTGCAGAACTCTCATAAGAACTACTCCATCACCAGACGCGTCGGCACCTACAAACCTCGCGTGTGTAACAGCATCCGCTATGGCTTCTATGCAAGTTGCTATAGCAGGATGATTAGGATCTAAAAAACATACTATGTTTTACAAAATAAAAATAATAATTTTTGTTGTCACAATAATTGAGACTGACCAATGAGACCATAAGAAATTATCTTATTAACAGCCGAGAGCGCTAGACTAGTCACAGGTCCAGTAGTTTCTTCAGATCTTATAATTTCCAGAAAGGGAGTGAGAAAAACTGCGGGTTCTAATTGGGATAAATCTCTATGTTCGTTTAATACTTCTTTCAAAGTACTCAAGCCTTTCATGAGAGTATCCTGATCGTCATCCTGGAAATTAAATTAAACAGTTAAAAGATAAATCTCTTCAAGTTCTTTTATGACAATTATCTCCATCTGTCATGTCAAACTACAGCTAGAAAGGATTGTAAATGGTAAATTTATTTATACAAATTTAAGGTATTTACTTATACACCTTAAACTTGAAGTGTCATCAGATGAATCTCTACAACCTGTTTGATTTTATTAGGAACAATAACAAGTATATCCTAATAATAGTCCTAATAATAGTCTGAATCGTTGAACAGTTGGCAAAAGAGATAAGAAAAAGTTTTCTACCTGATGAGAGTGCGACGACCATCGGGCACCTCGTCGCATTGCCGTCACCAGGAGGCACACCTCGTCCTCGACGACGAACAAGCCGCCCCTACAAGGGCCTCCAGATCTCACGATTCTATTCATCCTTGCGTGATTCCGTTGCTACGCCATAACAGGATTCCGAAAGATCATACAACACGACTGAACAAATTCGATCACTAGACGTCAGCGAAGATCCGTCACGTCGACTGCCGTACAGCCACTTCCCTGCACTTCCCACACGTTCCCACCACCGCAAACTTCTAACTTCCAACGCGATAATCATCGACTTTACCGTCAACCGCTATCGATTCACGAATCTCGCAGTTAAAGCGCTGACGTTCGATTAGTCGATAGCGTGTCACATTGCCAACGTTAAATAATGTGAATGCCGTCGTTTATATATACATATATATATAATTATACACATACACACACGCGCAAACACACACATACACACACACACATACATACACACACACACATACATACACACACACACACACATCACACACACATACGCGCACGCACACACACACGCACGCACACACACACACACACACACACACACACACACACACACACACACACATACATACACACCACACATACACACCACACATACACACCACACATACACACCACGCACATACACACCACACACATACATACCACACACATACGCGCGCGCACACACGTACACATGCACACATACACACATACACACCACACACATACGCGCGCGCACACACATACACATGCACACATACACACACACACACACACACACACACACACACACACACATATGCAGGTCCGTACTTGAGATAGTTTTGTGCCCTGTCGAAAATAAAAATTGGAATGCAAATCGATGTAAAAGGAGAATAACAAATCGTAAATAAAGTTTCTATATACAAGATGAAAATTAAGACAACAAAATGTAAAAGAGATGTAAACATCTTTTCTTACGTTTAATTGTTTTACTCTCCTCTTATGTTCAATTTAATGCAACAAACTTTATTAATAGTTAAATATTCGTAAACAAATTAAACTTGAAATTTTAAGTTTACGAATTACAGAAGTTTTTCGAAAATTGAAATTGAAACAAGAAATTCCAGAAATTGCAACTTCAAAAATCCTGCCTTATTTTAAATATTTTTAGGATAACTTCAATCACAAACTCCGACTAATAATATATTTGATTAATGATTAATTTATCATTATATTATAAATAAAATTTTTTTATACATCAAGTAAAACGTTATATATTTTATGTCATTTTAAATTATTAGAAAATAATATTTGCTTAACTTTATTATGTTAATTTTTGCTCGTTATTATAGTTTATTATAGTTATAATTGTCTTTACACATTGCTTTGCAACTATAAGTTATAATATCACTTAAAAAATTATTTTGTTAAGAATTCACGAAACGAAATATTCATCAAATATATCGAACATCATAATTTTTTTCTAAAATGACTATAATTATTTTACTTAATTATTGATCTTATAATAATTATTTTGAGATAGGACTTCTAAATTTAATATTACATTTATTTTATTTCAAAATATTTGAAATATTTGAAATATTTATTAATATGGATAAAATACAATATTAATTTTAATTTGTAGACAAAAAATTAATAGATTATAGGGGATATACTGAAATAAAAATTTTGCTATAAGTAATTTTGTTGACTGAACTATTCATCAATTATAAGGCTCTTATGACGATATTGTTATGTATTGTCGTTACGCAAATAATTATTATTTCACACTTGTAAAAAAGCTACATGCAACAAAAATATAACGACAAATTGTTATAGAAAGTTAAAAGTTATAAAATAGAGACCTAATAAATGTT